GACTCCATATGTATCTTATATCTTCTTTTGATGTTTTCTGCATCGTTCAATACTTTGCCCATAGAATCCTTCAATATTGCAAGTGAAGGCTTGAATTTTTTTTTCAGTTCTCTCAGCTTGAGAAACACTGAGCGTGTTCTTCCTTTTTGGCTTTCTAACTCCAAGTCTTTGCACATTTTATTGTAATATTTGACTTTGTCTTCTTGAGCTGTCCTTTGAAATTTTCTTTTCAACTTCTTTACTTTCTCATTTCTTCCATTTGCTTCAGCATCTTCACGCTGGAGAGCAAGTTTCACAGTCTATTCTGACATCCATTTTGGTATTTTCTTTCTTTCCTGTCTTTTTAATGACCTTTGGCTTTCTTCCATTATGATGCTCTTGATGTCATCTCACAACTCTCCTGGTCTGTTCATTAGATGATCAGACTGTTTATTAAATCTGGTCATTAGATGATCTCTAAATTCAGGTGGAATATATTCAAGCTCATATTTTGGCTTTCATGAACTTGTTTTCATTGTCTTCAATTTCACCCTGAACTTGCATGGTGGTGGTGGTGGTGGTATTTGTGTGCCACAGAGTCAGTTTTGACTCATAGTGACCCTGTATAGGGTTTCCAAAGCTGTAAATCTTTACAGGAGCAGAAAACCTCATTTTTCTTCCACCAAGCAACTGGAAGATTTGAGCTACTAAACTTCTAACTTGCATGTGAGCAGTTAATGGTTTGTTCCACAGTCTTCCCTAGCCTTGTTTTGGCTGATATTGAGCTTTTCTACCATCTCTTCTCACAGATGTAGTCAGTTTGATTCCTTTGTCTTCTATCTGATGAGGTGCATGATTTTTTTAAAAGGTACTTTTTATGTTTTTTAAAAAGATATTTGTCATGAGTAAGTCATTGGTCTTACAAAATTCTATCTTAATTTCTATCTCCAGCATAATTTCTATCACCAAGGCCACATTTTCCAACTCCAGATCCTTCCTCTTTGTTTCCAACCTTCACATTCCAATCTCCAGCAATTATCAGTGCATCGTTATTGGATGTTTGATCAAATTCAGACTGAGGAAGTTGGTAGAATTCTTCACTTTCATCATCCCTGGGTTTAGTCATTGGTGCATAAATTTGAACAATAGTGGTATTAACTGGTCTTCCTTGTAAGCATATGGATATTATCCTATCACAGACAGCACTGCACTTCAAGTTAGATCTTGAAATGTTCTTTTTGCTGATTAGTGCTACATGATTCCTCTTGAATCTTTAATTCTAGGCATAGTAAACATATGTTTGTCAGATTCAAAATGGCCAGTACCAGTCCATTTTAGCTCAGTATTGACTAGGATATTGATCTCTATGCATTCCATTTCATTTTTAACAACTGCCAATTTTCCTAGCTTTATACATTGTACATTCACAACGCTAGAACTGATCATTCTTCCCATCATGTTGAAGGGAAAACTAAGAATTATGGGAAATAAGTAACTTGTCCAATACCAATAATATTAAGTTGAGGACCCAGGATTTGAACCCAGCTCTCCTGGTGTAGCACTGCAGGTTAATGCACTGGACTGCAAGGTCAGTGGCTCAAACTCACCAGCCGCTCCTCTAAAACCCTATACAGGGTCTCTAGGAGCTACAGCTGATTCAACAGCATTTAACACCATCTCTGAGTTGTAGTAGGTGATCCTTCATTACTTTTTGCAAGTGAGACCCCCAAATCCAGTCCTCTTACTTATTGTTCTCTATGGATCCGTTCTCTTCAGCACTAGCGTCTCCCTGAATGATGCAAATGGTCAATATGTTTAGTTATTAACTAAAACATTCAATATTTGAGTCCAGCCTCAGCTACCTTAAAAGAAAAGCCTAGTGATCTACTCCCAAAAAAACTGAACCCTGAGTCAAAGTTGGCTCAGTGGCAACTGGTTAGGTTTTAACTGCTGTTGTTGCTCTGTGCCTTTAAGTCAGTTCCAACCATAGCTACCCTGTTTCGGTTTCTGAGGGAGTAAATCTTTCCAGGAACAGAAAGCTTCATCTTTGTCTTGTGGAGTGACTGGTAGATTTGAACTGCTGACTTTAAGGTTAACAGTCCAACATGTAACCCACCATGCTACTGGGGCTCCTGTGGCTTTTAACTATATACCTTCCGATATATTCAGCTAAGACATGGGAGAACTGTGCTAGTCAAGAAAGGCAATTTGTTGGGAGACTCAGGTAGGCTGTGGAGAGTGAATGATAAAGAATTCAGAAATCTCACTCTTCCATTGGTGACACTTTCAAAACCAAAAACCATATTTTAAATGGAGGACAGAAATGAAACCAGAAAAAATCTAGAATAAAAAAAAATCCCTGCAGTTCTTTGCCATCCCCTTTCAGAGGCACCACCTTAATGTTCAGTGATGATCCTTGCTTTGTGTATAAGCATAATGGTAGCCAGCCCTAGGTTTGAAGGTGTGGAATTCACCCATGTAATTAATTCATCCATCAGTCTACATGGAAGGCCTACAGGCAAAGTGCTACACAAAACAAAAAGATGCATAAGACACAGGCCCTGCCTTCAAGGAGCACACAAATGCAGGAATTGGACAAATGTCCAGATTCTTGCTTGACTTACACCAAAAAAGATGATTTCAAGGAATAATATGCATCAGCAATGCCAAATGTGCAATTCTTGCCTATGGCAGGAGCTTAGCTGAAATGCTCTCTAACCCTGTTTTCATCTCTGTTGTTGTCAAGTGCCGTCAAGTGGGTGCTGACTCATAGAGACCCTGTATTGGATTTCCAAGGAGTGGCTGGTGAGCTTGAACCGTTGACCTTGAGGTTCAAGCCAACCTTGCAGTCCAGCACATTAACCCACAATACCACACTCATCTCTAAGAGTCTATAATCTCATAAACCCTGTAGTGGGACATTTGAGGAAGAAATTTCTTATATCATTACAATTTTCCAATAAAAGCACAGCTACCATTGATATCAACACTCACGGTAGCAGCAGTCAAGAAATCAAATGACATATTATATTAGGCAAATCTACTGCACAAGACCTTTTTAAAGTGTTGAAGAGCAAAGATGTCAGCTTGAGAACTAAGGTGCGCCTGACCCAAGCCATGGTATTTTCAATAACCTCATATGCATGCAAAAGCTGGACAGCGAATAAGGAAGACAGTGGAAGAATTGATGCCTTTGAGTTATGGTGTTGGAGAAGAATATTGAAAGTGCCATGGGCTGCCAAAAGAACCAACAGATCATGTTGGACAAAGTGCAGCCAGAGTGCTCCTTGGAGGCCATGATGGCCAAATTAGTTTCTCATACTTCAGACATGTTGTCAGAAGGGACCAGTCCCTGGAGAAGGATATCATGTTTGGTAAGGTGGAGGGTCAGAGAAAAAGAGGAAGACCTCACACAAGGTGGATTGGCCAAGTGGCAGCATAGATGGACTCAAGCCTGGCAACAGTAGTGTGGTTAGCCGAGGATCAGGCAGTATTTCGTTCTGCTGTGCATAAGGTCGCTATGGGTCGGTACCGACTCAATGGCACCTAACAACAACAGCAACAACAATTGACATATCCCTGGGTTATGCAAACAGCTACAGTGCTTGGCTGATAACCAAAATTAAAGGTTGAAGGTTCTAGTCCACCCAGAAGGACCTCGGATGAAAGGCCTGGTGATCTATGTCTGAAAAATCAGCCCTTGAAAATCCTATGGAGCACAGTTTCACTCTGACACACATGAAGCCACCATGAGTTGGAATTGACTTGATGTTAATTGCTTTTTACTATTAGTATCAGAATTTTCAGAACAATCTTGATTGTAAATATCCTGCCATCAAGAAATGTAGTTGGAAGACTACATTTAATCGTGGGTGCTCCTTTATGTATGTGTCTTTTTGCACCAAGAGATTTTAACCCCAGTCCTATAGCTCAGCGCACGCTTTTCTGGAACCTGTGGTGCATGCTGCCCGCCACCTTTGCTTCCTGCCTGTATGGCTGGGAACCATGCTGGGGCTGCTTGCGTGAGTTTCATGTGTTTGTCGGCTGAGAGTGCTTCCCAGTGGACTGCAGGTGCTGAAGGGGCCTATGGCTCCGCGTATTTTATATAGCATCTTCTGCTCTAGCATCTTCTGCTAGTCGATCCTATTTGACCCTGATCAGCAGAAGTTATGGAGTACATGTGTTGGGTAGTGTAGAGAATAGAGAACCAAAGGGCACGAGCAGACACAGGCAAGTAACTATCCTGAAACGAAGGCAATGGCGCTACTGAAGGAAGGAGGTCTAAATAAAAGACTGTGTGAGGAGGAAGTGGAAGAGAAGAATTGGATGAGGGTGAAAACCTTGGGGGAGGAAGTGTGATGTGAACTAAACCCAAAAGGCCCCGGAGGATTATGGTGGTGGCAACAGTGGAAGCAACACAGAAGAGAAGCAGAATAGAAGGTGCCTGGGGACTAGACCAGTTTGGAGAGGGGGGCTTGGGTCAGAATGGAGGTTTCCCCCTTTTAGGGACAATTATACTGTAAAGACAGTGCAGTGAATTTTTTTGGTTTTCTTTTTCCCCTCTCTTTTCTTTCTTCCTTTTTAAGAGGCAGCAGTGGGAATAGCTCAGTTAAAAATTCAGAACTGGCAACATGGTTGAGGATGAGGGTTGAATTATAGATATCTTTTCTGAGGAAAGAAGATTAAAGGAGAGGGATTTTTTGTTGTTGTTTTGTTTTTCTTCCTGGCTGTTAGTTTTAAGTAGGTCATTGGAACCTCCAGTGGTTGGAAATTGCTGGGCACGGGGGAGGGTACATAAGGAGAGCACTGTTGCTGGTGAAAATAAGTTATTTTCTCCCAGCACGATTTTCTTTGCTCCTTTCTTACGATTTAAGGACTATACTGCTAATTGACCCCACTTTTTTTTTTTTTTTTAACATATATTTGCTTGTATCAGTAAGTCTCAGAATGTTCATAATTGGATGGTTGAAAATGAATTCTTTTCTGTCTCTCTCTTTGTTTTTGTCTCCTTTTCATTGCAGAGCTTACATTTCCTTCCAGGATCTGCTCATCAGCGCCTTTACTTTACTTCCTGTTTATCTGCCCCTTGGTGATGTTCCTTCTTCTACTCATTTCCCTCCTCAGTTTATACTGGAAGAGCAGGAAGTTATCAACTCTGACTTTAAATGCACGTAAAGATAAGTCTCTCTGGGTGGACTTGAAAGGAACTGAAAAAATGACCATAGACGGGAATGAAGAGGAAGATGAAGAGGAAGGCAACTGAATCCTGGAAGAAACCTGAGATCTGATGGAAAGAGTGTTAATGAACAGGGTGTGAATGAATTGAGTTCTGTTCTTAACTATGACTGTGGCTTTGGGCACCTTTCCTAAAGGAAGGAGGGAATAGTTATTGAGCATTTATAGGTGTCAGACTCTGTTAATTGTGTCTTTATGTATGATGTCATCTAGCTCTTCTGTGCCCCTCCCTTGAGCTAGATAGTAACATTATCTCCTTTTCTTTGCCACACCTCACAGAGGTTCTCATTTCTCATCTGGAAGAGGTGAGGTGCCTCCTTCACATAGTGGTGTGAAGATTAAAAGCATTTGCTCTGTAGACGTAGCCCTAGCTGGGCTCTCCTCTTCCCTCATCCTCTGCGTGGCACTGTTTCCCCTGGTAACACTCTGAGTGGTCTAGTCATATACGCTCCAGATCATCTTTTTCCTCTAGACACTAAGGGTAGGAAAGGAACTGAAGTCAGCAAGGCAGAAGGAATTGGGACTATGCTTCATTTACATAACTCCAGTTTCCCCAACAAGAATGCAATGTGGGTGAGAGTAGAATTCCATTTTCTTCCCCCATTTCATTGACAAACGCCCACTCAATCAATATGGAGTCTGCACAGTGGGTGTTTAATCAACACTGGTTCTTTGACAAAATGATAAAACCTTTTGTAGCCTGAGGTTTTCGTTTTTATAAGATATATTAAATCAGTGCTGAAGGAAAACTTAAAAAAAAAAATTTTCATGCCACAGTGTTCTAGCTGCCCCCCTTCCAGAAGACCTCATATCTTCATTTTGCTCCCCACACCAAAAGGTCCATCTGATTCCTGTCTTTTTTTATTTATTTATTAGTACCAATGGCCTTTGAGTCGGTTTGGACTCATGCTGACTTCATGTGTGTCAGAGTAGAACTGTTCTCCCTAGGCCTCTCATTGGCTGATTTTTCAGAAGTAACTCCTCAGACTTTTCTTCTGAGGTACTACTAGATGGGCTCAAACTTCCAACTTCTCAGTTACCAGCCAAGTGTCTTAATAGTTTGCACTCTCCAGGGACTCACTCCTGGTTCTTAGACAATGCAGCATTTTCTTTGACCTGCCCAAACTAGATAGTAGAAAAGGGTGCTGTGGTAGTTATGGGGGGAAAGAAGATAATACTGCCACCTCCCTCCCCTCTTATTTCAGCAGGGGATAGGTGTTCCAAGGGAAACAATAGGTCAAGTCTTTTCCTCAACATCCCCTGTTCTCAGCCAGGAAAAGTCCAAGGACTCGTAGTTTAAGGCTGTTAGTAACTGTCCCCACAGGACCTGAAGTCCCCTCACCTTGGTTTCAAAAGCTGCCCAGGCCCTGTTGTAGCCAGAATTGGAAATCAGTCAGTGTCACCTAACAGACTTGAGAAAACACATCTATTTATTGTCTATGTGACCAACAAAGTTCCTTTAACACTCAGTAATTTGCATTTCCAAAGAGAGCAATTTATTTTTAATTATTTTATCAGGCACACACATCCTCTCCAAACATAATTAGTTTCTTTGCAAAGGGGATTATCAGTGGCTATCAGAACTCCCACTACAGACCTACTGGTTCTTTAAATTCATCTCCCTTTATAGCCTTCTTTGAAATACTCCAACTAACTTCACTTTCCTAATTTGTAGACTGGAGATCATTCCAATTTTTTGAGGATTTTGAGGACTGAGCAAGATGATCCAAAAGTTTTAAGGATTATATTAAGCAATCAATTGTATCGATTCCGACTCATGGCAACCCATCTATGCGCCATAGGGTTTTCAAGGATGTGATCATTCGGAAGCAGATTGCCAGGTCTTACTTCCAAGGCACTTCTAAATGAGCATGAACCATCAACTTTTCAGTTAGCAGTTGAGCACTTAACCATCTGCACCACCCAGGCACCTATGAAACTCATAGGGGAAGCTCATATATCTGTTAGACATGGTCATGCATGATACAAAGTTCTGCTTCTATGTTTAGGGTTTGTAACCTAATTTTCCACTGATGTGTGCACAGAGATAAGAGTTACATCCTTTCACAGACTTAACTGCCTTTCCGTTTACCTTATCTTTTTGATGCTTGCTTTTAAATATAATCTACTTGTTAGAAAGTGGAAGTTTCTACTAGGCTGCTTCTGCAGAACCCAAGGCTTCTTCTGTACCAACTCTGACTGCCAAATAGACATTCTGATTGGATGCATAATTTTCACAGTGAACCATTTGCTGAGATGAAAGACCACATTGGTTAAAGACAGTGATTAATAAGTTCACATGCTATAAATAATGAGTACATAGAAACCCAATTTGTTACTCCTTTAAGGGTGTTTTCATGGTGATAGAGAGTTTGGGGTGTGTGTGTGTGTGCTTCCACTTTCAGATGCCTTTTTTTAAAAAACTGTGATCCTCAGCTGGGCTTAGCTCATGCTGTCCCCTTTCCAATATCCTGTGTCCCAAACAATATGCAAAACCCACTGTCACAGAGATGATTCCTGCTCAGAGCAGCCCTGTAGGACACAGTAGAACTGCTCCCTAGGGTTTCTGAGACTTCACTTTACCCGCAGGCAGACAGCCTCATCTTTCTCCTGTGGAGTGGTTGATGGGTTTGAATACCTGATCTGGCAGTGAACAGCCCAATGCCTAACCCACAGCACCACCAGGATTCCTTATCCTCTGCCTCAACCACACTAATTACTTGCTGACTTCTATCTGCATGCCTCTTTTTTTTTTTTGCCTTACGTTTTAGAATATCTGCTCAGGTTTTCTTCCTATCAGTGATCCTGCCCATCTCCATTGAATGAACTTGATTTTTTGTTTATGGCTGAAGGTACTTACTAGGGGAAAGCAATACTGTTTACTCTTTCATTTGTGTGATCAGGACTGGATCGTGTTCATGTAGAGTGGGATGCAATCTCAGAAAGCTCCCTATCTCATGTCCTTTAATAACTAACTGTAAGATTTTGAGCCCCCATCATCTTATCTTGGGCCCTTGTTCTCTAAGAGTACACTCTGTCTGGCTCGATGTGTATGGGCCCCATACGTATAGAGAGACATGGTTACACGAAGCTTTCCCTCTATCACTGGTGCAGAGTTGAAGCTTATCACTTTGACTCTTTACGTACAAATAAGTAATTTTCAATGTGAGGAGTCTTCAGCAGCATAGTCCTAGTTACCAAAGTAGTCATTGAGCGCTCCAAGCCAATAGAGAGTGCATAGACATCTAATAGTAATAGCAATTAATGTCTTCTGATGACATGTGTAATGCATTTATGTAGTTATACCTGTGTTCTTAAGTCTGCCTTTCAGAAACTTGTATATTGTCCGATGGTTTTTCCAATGTCAGCCATTTGTACTGCCCTGCCGGCAGCAGAAAATTGTTTTGAGCATTCTTCTGTTCTCAATGCCCAAAATATGGCTAGCTCTATAAAAGAGTACTGGTATCCGAATGACCTTTAGATCTGAAGAGTAGGCCATTGCCGTCTAGCCTTCAAATTAGCTGGTGGGGACTCTGTGTGTAAAACACATCACGATTGAAGCAAAATATTTTGTGGCGTTACCAGGAATCCTGGGGTGGCACTGTGAGTTAATGCACTGGACTGCAAAATAGGTTTAAACCATAAGCTTACTAGCTGCTCCTCAGAAACCCTATACAGGGTTGCTAAGGGTCAGAACCATCTCAAAGGCACTTAACAACAACATCCAGGAGCTTGAGTGTCTGGGCTGAGCTACAACATTGAATAAAGATTACTAGCTCTGCCCAACATCAACCCCTACCACACACATATGTTGTTGTTGTTGTTGTGAAGTGCTGTCGAGTTGGTACCAACCCATAGCGACCATATATAGGCTTTCCAAGGAGCAGCTGGTGAGTTTGAGCCACCGATCTTGCAGTTCAAAGGACTTTGAAGTCTGCCGCATCGACCTACAGCACCACACTAGGATTCCACCACACACATATGAGTATACCTAAATGCCTCCTTTGAAACTTTTTTCTTAGTTGAGGAGACATTCAATGTAGTAAATACATTATTCAAATGTAGTAATCCAGGAGACTTTGTATCTGGCTCTATGGTAACTGTCATGGAGCCCTAATGTGGCATTGTAGGATATGCACTAGACTACTAAGTAGAAGGTCGGCAGGCAGTTCAAGCCCACCAGCTACTCCTTGAAAACCCTATACAGGGTCCTGATGAGTTCCTTTCACACACAAAAATGATAAACATAGCTATATACTCTTAGGGTCTTCCACTTTGACTTCATGCTCCTTTTAGCTACTTACCTAATGAAAACATCTAGTAACATAAAAAATGGCTCTGGATTTACATTCAAATCCTGACTGTATCGCTCACTGACTGTGTCATCTTTGGCAGTTAATTACTTCGTAGGGTTGCTAACTATTTCGTGAGGATTAAATGAAATATTGCAAATAAAGCAGTTGGAACTCAGAAATGTTAAGTATCATCATTATCATCATTGACAAGCTAGTCATTTGAATCAGTCTTTCTACTCCTGAAAAGAAAACCAGATGTTTGCATTTCACTTCCTAATTCTCAACATGCTAGAGGGAATGGAAATGCAAACATGGACTTTGCCACAAAACGGGACTATTGAGGGGTGTGATGTTTTCAATCCAACAGGCCAGTCCTGGTGTGGCACTCAAAGCTAAGCATTGGCCCGCAAGGTTGGTTTGAACCACAAGGTCGGCGGTTTAAAATAATCAGCCAATCCTCGGCTAATAATGCTGTAGGATAGGCACTGGCCTGATAACTGTAAGGTCAGAAATTTAAACCCACCAGCCACTCAGTGGGAGAAAGAAGCGTTCTGTTCCCTTAAAGATTTACAGCCTCAGAAACCTTATGCAGGGTCGCTAGGAGTCAGAACGGATTCAGCAACACCTATCGATAGGTATAAAGTGGGAGCACTGGTGGTGTAAAGGGGCTATCCATTAGATTGTTAATCTCAAGGTCAGCAGTTCAAACCTATCAGACAGTCCATGGGAGAAA